CGCAGTACATAGAAGGGGTACTTACAGACTTTGGGGGTCTAATCAAGCCCATATATGAAGAGAGAACAGCATCCCACATCTACTTGCATAGTAGAATTTCTTCAGTCTGAAGAGATGAGGTCACTTCCTCCCAAGTTAGCAAACAGGAAGTCTCTGGCCTTGAAGGGGACAGACACTGCTGAATGCTAAAGAATGCCTTGTGTAATACAGGGCAGCACAGCCCTTTCACACAGCAGGCTCCACCAAATGGATCTGTATGCTCAGCGAGGGATCTGTCTGCTGATCCCAAGTGAGCAGGCGGATGATAGGTCTTTGTTCGTTCCGCTTGTGCAGAGTGACACAGACACAGCCTACTGTTTTCTATGGGGCAGTCAGATGTACAATTACCTCCTTTCCATTTAAACCTGACTATCATCCAATCCACTAGATGGATGGGGAATAGATTCCTCATTTGTTTGTATTTACCGCATTGGATGCAGGCAAGTGTAAACCGACACATCCGTTTACATCCGCCTCCCTATAGAGAACAATGGATGGTTTGATTGGGTCCATCTGCAAAAGGGTCCACCAGTGTGAAAGGGCCCAAAGAGTCAAATTCAGCCTAAAAAGTCAAAGTTCTACAATCAAAAAGTGATTGAATCAGTTTAGCCTGCATGAGAATTGTGCTAGAAAAAAAACCTGATGTCCAACAAGAACAACAGCAAAACTATAGCTTGTCATTTGATATACATAAGCAAAGACGGGTCCCTCTGAAACCATCTGATTTTGACTGATCACTCAAAGATAGAGTTGCTTGTCCTGGCTGTTTTAGTCCTAGGAGTCCTAGCCTTGTTTCGAGAATACATGTGTATGATTAAAATAGCTGGCAATCTTTTTTCGACAATCTGTACCAAAATCTGCACTTTTGAGAGTGCATTGAGCTACAGATCTCAATGGTTACTTGAATTATTTGGAGTTAGATTGTGCCCTAGAATGCAGGTTATACTGGTGACATGGATGCTTGGGAGTGAGCTGTGAAAGATAGTGTGCAGATCTCACTGGTGATGTATACACAAGACTGAAGTGAAATACTTGTATTGTAGATTTTACTGATGTCGTGGAAATGGGGAGTGATCTTGGAGCTAGAGTGCAGATACTTCTGACAATATGCATTCTGAAAATGGAGATGTGTGCATCGGGGTGACATGGATACAGATGGGGGGGGGGGGGATTGAAGATATGGTTACTCTGCTTCAGGTTAGATCAGCAGGGGATGTGCCGAGGATAGTGATTCATTGGATTTGCTATGGATGGTAACCAAGATTTCTGTACTTTTGTACCATCTCTATACAACTTATATCATAGGACCAGATGAAGACCACCCCTTTAACCAACCACTGCATTTCTTCGTGATTAAAATGTCAAATATTAAAATTACCTATGTGGATCACCCCTTAGGAGATGACAAAGGGTTACGTTTTTGCAGTTTTACGATCTTAGCTATTAGCAGTCATAAAATACTTAGCAACTAAAATGGTTTGTTTATTTTACAGCAACCAAAAGAAAAAACTTTAATTAATTTTTGTCTACAGCATTATAAATCCAAAGCAAATTGTTTGGGCTGCTGCGAGTTTTCAAGCTCTTAAAATGGCTCATTTATTTTACAGGGATGGAAAGCCATGTGTTTTAAATGGGTAGTTTCACATAGGAACTGATTCATATTATCCAGAACATGATTATATAACAGATGTTCCAGTGTACTGCTAGGAAATCAAGACAAATCAATACAGTAAAAAAAGATTAATTTTCAGCTGAATAAAAAGTTTTTACCGACCAAAATAATCATTTATATACTGTATAGTATAGGAACCTGGCTCACGTTGTTCTAAAGCCTGATGATGTGCTACTTTGCCATACATGTTCCTCAGCCATGTACACTAAATTGCCAAAAGTATTGGGACACCCCTCCAAATCATTGGATTCAGGTGTTCCAATCACCTGCATGGCCACAGGTGTATAAAATCAAGTAAATACTAAACACAAATACTCCTGCGCTTGGGGGTGAACTCGGTGTAAGATCCTCGATATTGCATACCTTGCTGCCCTCAAAAGACAGGGGAAGTCCAAAACACTGTATGTAAAGAAAACAGAGGATGCACCTGCCTAGTGCATTACCTAAATACATTTATCAATAAAAGTAACGAATGGTGATATACTCACAAACGACAATGATAAAAAATCTCATCATGAAACACAGCAATAACCGGTCTGCCGGTTACGATGATTCCCACAAGAAAACTGGACTCCAATAGGCTAAAGTCATGCACCCAGGCATGCAGACTGCTTCTGCAAACATTTGTGAAAGAATGGGTCGCTCTCAGGAACTCAGTGATTTCAAGCATGGTACAGGGATAGGTTGCCACCTATAGAATAAATCCATTTGTGAAACTCCCTTTCTACTAAATATTCCACGGTCAACTGTTAGTGGTATTTTAACAAAGTGGAAGCAACTGGGAACAACAGCAACTCAGCCATGAAATGGTAGGCCATGTAAAATGACAGACTGTGGTCAGCGCAAGCTGAAGTGCACAGTGTATAGAAGTCACCAACTGTCTGCAGAGTCAATAGCTAAAGACCTCCAAACTTTGTGTAACCTTCAGATTAGCACAACAGTGTGTAGATAGCTTCATGGAATGGGTTTTCATAGACGAGCAGCTGTATCCAAGCCTTACATCACAAAGTGCAATGCAAAATGTCAGATGCAGTGTGGTAATGCACATCTCCACTGGACTCTAGAGCAGTGGAGACGTGCTCTCTGGAGTGACGAATTACGATTCTCTGTATGGCAATCCGATGGACATCTCTGAGTTTTGTGGTTGCTAGGAGAATGGTTCTTGCCTGACTGCATTGTGCTAAGTGTAAATTTTGCTTGAGGGGGGATTATGGTGTGGGGTTGTTTTTCAGGAGTTAGGCTTGACCCCTTAGTTCCAGTGAAGGAGACTCTTAAGGCGTCAGCATAACAAGACATCACCACACCATCACCAGTGCACAAAGCAAGGTCCATAAAGATATGGATCAGCAACTTTGGAGTGGAGGAACTTGACTGGCCTGCACAGAGTCCTGACCTCACTCAGAACATCTTGGGGATGAATTAGAGCAGAGACTGCGAGCCAAGCCTTCTTCTCCGACATCGGTGCCTGAACTCATAAATGCGCTTCTGGAAGTGCGGTCAAACATTCCCATAGACACACTCCTAAACCTTGTGGACAGCCTTCCCAGAAGAGTTGATGCTGTCATAGCTGCAAAGGGTAGAACAACTCAATATTGAACCCCACGGATTAATACCGGGATCCATTAATATTCATGTACGTGTAAAGGCGTCCCAATACTTTTGCCAATATAGTGTATGAAAGATCAGCATTTGATTACCTTACTGAATGTACACCATAATTGTTAAAATGGTTTACATGGATATCAAAGTACCTTGGTATTACAGGTGTTTGTAGTTATGAAATATAGTAAAATATAGTCCAGGATAAAAGGGAAAAACACATTCTCACAGTTCTAAACCTAAGCTTAAGAAGGTATCATGCGGTCATGCCTAAAAAACAATTTTACACAAAAAGAATTTCCCAGTTTTTGGTGCAATAGGGCAATGTTTAATTTCATGCTGGATCTACACTTCAAACTTAACAATTTACCTGCTTTACCTAAAATGTGAACCTACAGGCTGTCTTTAAAGCTAAAGAAGTGATACTTTAGCTGATAAGTTTACAATTTCCCTTATTTAACTACACTCATGGCTTTTTTACAAATGCAGAATTGAAGAGAATTAAGCTAGCAGCAGCCTCTCAAATTTCAGCTGTTAATGTGTCTATACAAATTAGAAAATGAAAATCCATTAGCTGCCTTGGTTATTAGCCCAATTTCCTTTTGCTCTTGATTTTATAAATGAGTGCCACTGTATACCCAACATGTCACAATAAACCTAATTTGATTAGAAACATTCTGGATCATGCTCAATATCAGAATCTACATGTAGTCTTTGACAATGAGATTTTCATTAGAGCGGGCTTAAAAACTGAATACCAGCTGTACTATGTTTTGGAAGAGTAGGGACAGGTTAGATCCTCTATTAAGGTTTATTACTTCTTGTGTCCTTTTGGAAAGATTCTTTCTCACTTCCTCTCTGATAGGAAAACTCTCTAATTGGAGCACAAACAAAACACATTTTCAGAAGAGTGGGAAAAGGTTAGGACTTTTCATAAATTATTTTCTGTTGTCTGCGCATTCCAGTAGCATGACAACCAAAGCTCCCATTTCTTGTACAGGCATCAATTAGACAAAATTGGGGAAAAATCTACCCATTGACACAAATAGAAATAAAACCCCAACAGAAATGTTTATTGTTTCTCATTTAATGTGAAGCAAACGACAAATAAATAAATAAATAAATAATGGATGTAGCAAGGCTTTTTATAGTCTTACAGTCAAAGACATATCTGGAACAGTGTTGGGCAAACTGCAAAAAACTGAAGACATCATAAATGATTCTGGCTATTTACAACATCTGCAATGACTTTCCTCCATCCATGCTATTTAGCACAAGCAGACCCCTGCTGGTACTGTATATTAACAGATGGCCTTGCTGGCTGTCAAAGTACCTGAATAGCTGTATCCAATCATATTAAGAGGCTGACAATTCTCTGGCTCCTTTAATTTTTCTTTCAAGGATGTCAAGTGGGAGACGAATGACAGGAACACCCACTGAGCAACTTTCTATAATTTGAACAGAGTATGACCAGCTTTATGCTTATCAGACACAACCCAAATTTTGAAGTAGAGTTACCAACATCAGCCAGCTTGGGAATATCAGGGTTATTATCACCTAGAGAGGTTTTTAAACATTTTTGTCATTGTTATGTGGTTTTAAAGCTGAAATCCAGGCTAAACAATGCTGTCTAAATACAAAAGCAAAGTGTATTCTAATTTGAATATTGGTATCCTTTGTGTATTTCTTCCAGATTTCTGCAGTGCATAAAACAACTCCTGTACTTTACCCCTGTGCTGAAGATTCCTGTAATATCTGCTAATCACTGCTGCTCTCTCTCTCTCTCTCTGCAGGATCTTGTATGGACTTGCTGGGACTCACACCAAGCTCTTTTCTCTGTGTAGGCTTTGTGCACCCCAGTAATATCAGGGATTAGAAAGGCATTTGGCGCACACAAAATGGATCCATATCCATTGTAGCAATTGAGAAATATATTTTAAAAAACTTATGACACCTACAGACCCCTCCTTGGTCTCTGCTGCTACTTTCATACTTACAACCTCCTTTCCATTCCTAGAGTCCTTCTTTCTTTTTTCCTTTCTGTCCACCCTCCCTCCTTTTTGTCCATAATGGGGCTGTGGTTAACTTTGTGCTGTCATGCATATCCGGGTAGCTTGGATGATATTGGGATACAATTCTTAAATATAGCAAATAACCATTTCAGTTCAGGATAAGGCCGTATGGGTCATGTTCTCCCTTTGTCTCTCTGTTCTATATGCAGCCCTTACATCCTGGTCTAATCATCCTCTGTGCCAACCTTGCTGGCCCCGGTGACTTTTAATTACAGTATATTGGAGTACAGTTTATTTATTGCTCCATTGTCCATTTTATTTACAATGTTTTGTATTACCAGTGTGTATTTGAGTTCTATTTCCCCTTCACCCCAGATTGTTGGGGTACTTGTTTTGAATATTGCTACTTTGTATGTTGAAAATTAATTTTTTCAATAAAATACGATTGAACATAAAAAAAAAAATGATGCCCTGAGTTCAATTTTATTTTATGACACCTAATCAGGCTTAGAGATAAAGGTCACAGCAAGTTACCCAAAGCCATGCAAATTAAACATAGATATTGAGGTGTTTCAGTGAGATCTTTAACTCTGTGAGCGCTCTTCTTGTGTTTAGCAGATCATCACAAACTTTACAACACAAACTTTATATCAAGTTCCAGTGCTTGTTAAATTCTAATTTAAACTCAGGATATGCATGGGTCGCTTACTGCTTGTGCCAGCTATTATGAATCTTTTATATAGGCATTTTCATCCTAAAAATTTATGAAGGTATAAGGGCAAAAGCATTATCAACTCACAAAATCCACCTTAATTAACTGTATTAAAGTACCAATTATATAGTAAACTTACTTGTATCTAAGTGTTTCTGCTTTATTTAACTCAGCAGTAGAGATAAACAATGAATATTGAATGCTACCTGCTACATTGAAACATCTACTTTAACAGTCTCTAAATAATCTGCCTTACAATGTTTGCAAATGTATTCTTATAGAGAACTATTTATTCATCCAAAAATACAATTACCAAAAATTCCCAAGTGTTATAAATAACACATGCTAGTGCTGATAACAATTGGACAAAATAACAAAAACACAAACAATGAAAACACCAAGATGCTCCGTAAAAATATGAATTCTGCCGAACAATTGTTTTGAGCTAAAGCTATTTAATAACATTCTATTTTGCCTTGAATACTCTCAATGGAAGTCTGTTGAATTCATTAATATATACCTCATACACAAATAAATGCACAAAATGATAGTGTCAATATATTACATATAATTGCTGTCTACTGGTCACAAATGAAAAGAAAGCGGTGAACAGATAAGAATGTTTAAAAGTCTATGCATGCAGTGCAAAGAGTGCTGGATTCCACAATAAACGATGCTATTGTGTAAATATAAATACAATAATACAGTTATAATACATTGTGTTCCAAACAATTTCATTGCCTTAAAATAGAACAACAAATAAAAAATAAGACTTGCTCAGTTAATGTCGTTTGCTGTGAAAACATAATTAGAATGAAAACAAATGATGTTTGATCTGAACAAAAATAAAAATTAATTTAATGCATTATTAACCTTCTATTACGTCTATTTTGTGTACTTTGAGAATGAGGTGAAAAATATTCAATTAGTATGATAAGTGTGAGCAACTGAAGGGAGGAAATAAATTGAAATCCTTAATTATGTGATTTAACTTTAATCTTGCCTGGAAATATTCACTTTAGTGCAGGTTCTGACTAGCAAAAATAAGTGCTTGGGAAAACCTGAGAACTTAGACACTAGTGTATTATTCAGGGAAGTTGCGTGCATAACATATACACTGAGTTTTGGGGTTTTCAAGTGGAAGGAGGCTCCCACTTAAAGTGGTTGTAAACACTTAAGTCCAGCATTTACACAGCTTGTCTGAGCTTCCAGAAATCAGGGGGCGGGGAGCTAAAGTTACGCTCTGCAGAGCTCAGTAAGGTAGCAGACAGAAATGGCACTTAGTGCTCAGAACTGAGACAAGAACACACTATAGACGGCTATGCTTTGTTCATATTTTATGTTTGAGATTTACAACCACTTTAAAGCAGAGCTAAACCCATTGATTTAATGGTTTCCCAAAACAGCTACATTCAAGGCATGCCATGAATGATAATTGTCAAGTGCTTCTGCTCTGCACTAAATTATCAAGCCTTCAGA